CACAGTCTTCGACTTGTTGGTCAATTTAAATCAACATTGATGTTGTTATCTTACCGTGATATCCAATATTTAAACACGCATTATGCAAGAGCAAAATCTGCTTATTACAAGTCTTTCTTTAGGCCTGAAATGTTATCTAAATTATCAATTAGACATTAATTAACTTATGTCAAGGCTAGCCTTCGATGTAGGCTGGATTAGATTCCTATATGCCGCTAACGGCCAAAGATAATTAAATCAGAAAAAGTGGATAATCGAGACTATGCTGTTTATATTAATGATTTTAGTAATGATAACCGAGACTGTGCAAAAATTTCACCGGCTTCTTTCTCGGCTCATAGTGGATCAATTTGACTGAAATTTTCAGCAAATTACCTTTACACTATCTAGTTTTTAACTATTATAGCGAGAACTGCCATCTCTTTATCTTATCTCCCATAATGTATGTTTAAGACAAAATGAAAATTCTAAAATTGACACACGAATCCCGTGCCAGAATGCTTTCGAGTGCCATTTGTAATGAAGTGACTCCATGAATGAGGCTAAAGATACCCCACAATAGAGGATTATTGGTGTAGACTGGAATAAGCAGACGCCAAAGACTGTCATTCAATTTGGACTTTCCGCGTATTTCGCCGAATTTAACTGATTAGAAATTACAATAAAAACAGAAACGATTGAATGTAAATCAGTTTATATACATTCATAATACATTATTATATGCGCTGCGACAAATTTGTGTCCATTTCTAGGTGCAGAAGAATAGCGATTTAGCTCCTTTAAAACACATGACTGACAGCCCACTACCAAACACACATACGAACGTTATGTTACTCTTTTGGAGTTTATACTAACAGACATTCAACCACTTTCCTTTGGATTCCATTTCCATGTGCTGTCTCCACCCGCTGGGAATTCCAGGAATTGGATGAGATACGTAGAGCAAAAAAACCCCATTTATTTCCTTTTATTAGTCAGGTGGGCAGCTCTTCATGAATATAAAGAACCTTCCCCCCCCCCCCCAAACACACAAAAGAATCTATTTGAAACAGATGCATTACAGGCGCATGTCCATAATCTTTGAGATAATTATATTGCTATACCTGGTTAGATATATCATATACAGCTCTTATTAAAGATACATTATGTAAGATTTAGATAAAGGGCTAGCCATTCTTACTATAATAGTTCGAAAATAGATAATGTAAAATGAATAATTTGAAAATTTCATTCAAATTACTCTATTGCGAGCGAAGATATTAGCCTTTGAAGGTTTGAAAAGACGTGTGCAATAATTTCAAGCACCGTACTGGTTGTTCGAAGCTAAGTCTTGCTCCTCCATGTTTAGCTTAAATTAAAATATGGCTGAACTGTTCTAATCTATTTAATATCGGAGAAATCCGATGGCATCTATGGCCTGGATAAGTTAATCAATGTCTAATTAACAATTTAGAAAATATTTCAGGCCTAAAGAAAGACCTGCAATAGGCAGTTTAATCGCAGATTATCAGTTAAAGGGCCAATCCCGATAATATTTTGGAGAATAAATAGAGGATATTTGTCGTTTTAGAGTGAATAACATATTTTATTTCATCGAGAAGCAAGAAAACTTATATTTTCACGAATGCGTAGCATGGGTGAAAATATAAACGTTTTCTTGCTTAGAGATGAAATAAAATATGTTATTCACGACAAAACGACAAATGTTCTATTTATTTTATGATTTTACAATCATTTTAGGTAAAAACAACTAGCCAGTGGAATAACACTTTTATTTCACTGATAAAACGCGGTATTCCACTACTGATCATAAAATAAAACTGCTTAATTTTGTGTTAAAACTCCTTAATATCCCGTACCTAAGGGCCGATCAACTAATTCAATATTTGTGATATGTTTTCAAACAACTTACACCCGTCAGTCTTCATCTGGAAATGGAGACCGGTGTCTCAAGCTGTATTATGCGGTGTCTGGATAAAACCAGACTTTTATTTTATAAAAACAATGTGTACGTGAAATTTACGTTTCGTTATCCAGTACGGCACATGGGTCATTCATTGTATAGACCTCTAAAGGAACGGCGATAGATTATCAGGTCACCCAACGAAAAAAATGACCAAAAATCTTTAAAGGGTTACGTGTCCGGATAAGCATTTTTGACGTTCACGTCCAAACAACTCAATATTTTGAGCTGATATTTTGAGGCAGGGTAAATACACCATTCCTCTATATTTTGGCGCTTAAATTTCATACGAACTCGGACTTTTATTTTTGAGACTCTGTTTAAATCGGGATAGTCCCTTTAATGTAAATTAAAACAAGAAATCGTGTAGCCTGCCTTGAAATGAAAATAAAAAGAAAGAACTACAAGTGCGTTTATTATCATATCAGACTGAATAAAATAACGTGCTATTGTTTTTTTTAAGCAATAATATTCAACAACAATTGACATTCCTCGGTAAGTTACGGTAATATCCGACGTATTAGTTTATTAAGGCGAATATATGCCATGGTATTGAATAAGGTATCGTCTACACATGAGTATTCATTAACCAGGTACATTCTTGCTTGAAAATGTTTTCTTTTCTTTTTTGAATATTTACATTGACAGCCTAGCTTCTTTTTTCTTAAAAAATAAATATAGGAATAATATTTAAAACAAGCCAACAGTGAGGCTGATGTCCCCCGCCGAAATAGCAAAATAATTAGATGACACGTATTAATTAATAGAACATTTATTTTTTTCAAAAGTATCGAACAGTTAAACTATAGACTAAGTTTCATCACTGTCTATCAAATAGAATCAAGATTATGAAACTGATAAGCTCTGCTTGGCTTCAGCTCGAAATGTTAATCATTGAACTTAGTCAAGACATTCACCTAATGAACATCTACATCAAGTTTAAACATTCTACCTCAATTAAAAGCAGAGTTGTTATGTTCCAAAGTCTTGACCAATCAATTAAATTGCTTATTGCTCCTTAGCCTTAGCAGAAAATTTTCACCATCGAACTTAGTCAAGGTAATGATATAATGAATCTATATTCGGAGTTTCATCTCTCTCAAAGTTATCATGCCCCAAAGCATCAACCAATCAGATTTCTTATCTCTGCTTACCGTAAGCATACAGTGTTCATCATTGAACTCCATCAAGGCATTCACCTAATGAAAGCCTACACCAAGTTTGAACATTCTACATCAATTAGAATGTGAATTATTGTGTTCCAATGTCTCGACCAATCAAATTGCTTATCGCTCTGCTTAGCCTGAGTAGAAAATGCTCATGATTGAACTTAGTCAAGGTATTGATGTAATGAAACTATACACCAAGTTTCATCAATCTCACTTAATTAGAACTAAAGTTATCGTGTCCCAAAGCATCAACCAATCAAATTGCTTATCTCTGCTTACCCTAAGCGGAAAATGCTCATCTTCGAACTCCATCAAGGCATTGACCTAATCAACACATACACCAAGTTTGAACATTCTAGCTCAATTAGGCAAAGAGTTATCGTGCCCCAAAGTATCAACCAATCAAATTGCTTATCTCTGCTTACCCTAAGCGGAAAATGCTCATCTTCGAACTCCATCAAGGCATTGACCTAATAAACACATACACCAAGTTTGAACATTCTAGCTCAATTAAAAGTTATCGTGTCCCAAAGCATCAACCAATCAAATTGCTTATCTCTGCTTACCCTAAGCGGAAAATGCTCATCTTCGAACTCCATCAAGGCATTGACCTAATCAACACATACACCAAGTTTGAACATTCTAGCCCAATTAGGAAGAGAGTTATCGTGTCCCAAAGCATCAACCAATCAAATTGCTTATCTCTGCTTACCCTAAGCGGAAAATGCTCATCTTCGAACTCCATCAAGGCATTGACCTAATAAACACATACACCAAGTTTGAACATTCTAGCTCAATTAGGAAGAGAGTTATTGTGTCCCAAAAAGTGTGACGGACAGACAGACGGACAGACAGACAGACGGACGAACCCATTTTAATAGTCCCCTGCTTTCTTCGAAAGGCGGGGGACAAAAAAAAAAATTAGGGGATAAAAGGATTCGTTTCGCTTCTAATTAGGTAGCCCTTCTCCCATCCCCGTGACAAGTGGTTACACACTGATCGGTCAGCAGTGAATGAGTATTCGCTAGGTCACTTACAATACCTCTCTGTGAACACATTGGAGTGGTTGGCGATAGGCGGTCAACATTTTTAAATTTAAAAAAATAGTAAAAAAAAATAATCTGTGTGCGTGCATATTTATTTATTTATTTATTTTTTATTTTTTTTTTTTTTTTTTGCAAACTCTTCTTCTTTGAAACTGAATTGTATTTTCCATGTCGAATTGCGATTCGTAGTAGGCATAATTTAAACGAAGAAAGCTATCGGATTGACCAGATACAAGATTTATGCATTGATACAACAGTGTTGTGTGTGGATTTATCAAACGAAACACTGTGCTGATATCCTGTGTAAATGTAAATAAAATGGGCCTATGTAGGCCCTATCATTCGGGTTTTCTTTACCACTTCTTTTTTTCTTCAAGCTAAATGAAATAAGTGACGAGTTATGTTCAATCTCTTATAAGAAATAAATTTCTATTTAATCGCTGTACCGCAATTTTGTATCTCATTTGTATTAAAACAGCCAAAAATAGATAACAAAATGCTTATGCACGTCCTAAAATAGTTTTTTCACGCATGAAGGCAATTTTTTACAGTTGTCTCCCTTGAGGTCACGTGTAAACATCGAAAACCAAATATTCTTACGCGAAGAATTTAGAACAACAAAACATCTGGATTTGTATTCATTTCAAACGATCTAGAGCAATCATATAGCAATCAAGATTGTTCGTATTATGCGGAAACTAAATACATCCAATGGACGTGGTGATAGCCTCAAATGAAAGCCAAACAAGTCGAAGTATTTCAAGATCTAGATCTACTTTTTCCGCGGATTGTTATATTAACATCCCCTATATATTAGCTGTTGTCGAACTGGCAGTGTCAGTCGGTAAGTTAGCTGGCTGAGTGTTGCGTTTTGTTATTATGATTAATTTCCAAATCGGCTTTTGTTATAATAGACAGTTTTGGAAAGTGGTCAATGTAATAAGTTTTAGCGAAAATGACAACGGTGGATTCTATAATGGTTGACATTGACAATAATAAAACAACCAACGAAATGAAGTCGCCCACAGAAGAAAATGTTTCATTTGGAGAAAATAAATCGACATCTGATGTGTCTGTGTCGGATGAAGAACGTCAGACTGGAGTCGGAACAGGAGAACATGGATGCGATCAGCAAGGGAATTCCAGAAAAAGAAAAAGGCGACGAATTAAAGGTGGTAAGCATCACAGAAAATGGAAACCTTACGATAAGTTGACATGGTCAGAAAAAAAGGCTTTGGAAGAAAAAGAGACAATTCGCGCGACGCAAAAACGACAGGAGGCTTTTGCATCAGGACATCCGATCGCTCCGTACAATACAACACAATTTCTAATGGAAGATCACATTCAAAGTGAAGCCTCCCCAGATTTATTAGAAGTAGAAAATGGCGAAAATTTAAATGTTAGTGTTTCATCCAAACATCGAGATTCATTCAATAGTGACGGTTCTTCAGATTCTGATTATTGTGCAGACGACGACGAAACGTTTTTAGCGAAAGAATTTTCGGAAGCATACGATAACATCCACGCAGAAAGACTACAAACTATGTCAAAAGAACAATTGGTGAAAGATTTTGTTGAATTAGAAAGAAAAGTAGAAACTCTGGAGAAAAAATTGAAGAATTCTAATCAAAATTGTGTAACAAATGAACGCGATAATTCTGACGGGACGTCATTGAGTAGCAGTGGCGAAGAATTGGCGCTGTTTGATTTAGCAACGAGGGAAGAAATGAAACGCTTGAAAGAAGACAACAGTACTATGAAAAAACAAATTGAAGAAATGAAGAATAAGAATGGTTCTTGCTAAAATGAACGTTATTTTGTTGACAACTGACAATTTGTGTACAGAACCGTTAGCAATACCCGTAACAAAATTTCTTCTCTTGACATTCTAAAACTTGTCCGTCGACTGCTCGTGGAAGAGTTCATTTACCCTTATAGGGTCAGCAGCTCGTTTGATGAGAGTGAATGTTCACAGATTTGTAACTGGTGATACCAAAGTTATTTATGTAGTTTTATTTGCAAACTTTATTTCAAAGTAGTGCTTATTTAGTTGAATGATTCCAATGTCTATTTTGTAAGCAATATGTGTGCTTCCACCCCTGCTGGCATAATCTGACCAGTCTGAATCTATATTCCACCCACCTGATGACACTAGCAAAGAAAGGCATGATATTGCTATGTTGGCTGTTCTCAATGGTGTCTGTAATGTAATGGTAGTTTTAGAAGACAATCAACATTATGTGGTGATCAACTGTATGTATAATTTATGAAAATAAGTTGTGTGAACTGTGGGTTATTAAATGTGTTGAAACATAATTTTGATTGAAAATAATAAGTTGAAAAATATAAAAATTCTTCAGAAACATTTTTTTTTTGTCTGTTTCTGTAAGTATGGTTATTCTGTTTTAGACAAAAATGATCACTTTAATTTTAACGTTTATAATGCCACTTGATACATAGCATAAAATTTTTAGAAGAACCTCACATGTATATAAAAGTTTATAAAGCTTAAAATTATTTTTTGGATGATATGAGCGAAATGTTGAATGTTTTTGTTGGAAAGGGAAAGAATGTAGGAAATAAAACAAATTTGTTGCTGTATATGTGCCATTATTAAAATGTCTTTCGTCATTAGGGCATTATTTCATTATGACAAATATAGACATTTTTATATTTTAGAAATTTTAAAAAAAATGTTAATTTTAAATTAACATTTTTGAGGAATATTTTCCACTTTTTGAAAAATATAAAAACTATAAAAAAAGGGAATCCATATTTGGATTAGAAAATATTAAAAATTGAGTAAAAAAATGTGTAGACAAAATATTAAATATTTTTGTATGCAAATATTTTTGCACAAGTTTGTCACATTGTCTGCCAATGTCTTTCCTTTTTCATGCCCATTTTGTTTCAAGCGGTCCAGTTGTGTTAAAATATATAATAAAATTTGGTTATATGATTTTTTGCGAGTACATGTAGTTCTGCAAACCTCTTTAAGTATTAAGGCTGGAATAAAGTTATGGTATAGTCAAGTTAAACTATAAAGAAATTCTTAAGAGAGCTAGCTTTATAAGTAAGGAAAATTGTTCACCTTGCACACTCGTCCTCCTACCTCTTCCTTGTTGACTGGAAAGATTGTAGGAATCTGTTATCAGAAAATTTTGTAAATAGTTTAATTGCAATTTTGGTTCCGACATAATAAGAAGTGTCATCAGGCAAATGTAGACTCTTTAAGAGAGAATTCTAGGAGCAAACATTACAAATACTGTAGTCTTAAATGTAATCACCCTGCATAAATAATCTAGTAGTGTTACTAGGGTAGTAAAAGTATGGAAATGGGCACATATGTCAAAACATTGGAATGAGGTGGAAAATATGAGACCGATGAAATTTGTGATGTGCCCAGTGGATTGACAGGTTGAGCTCAAATCTATTGTGGTCCATCTCATTTCTGAAAAATAATTTAGTTATTCGCTTTAATCTGTGCTACGTTCTTACTAGTTTCAAGAAAATTATGTTTTGTAACTACATTAACCAGGAGTTTCATCAAATGATTTTACCTTGAAACAAAAGTACTTGTTTGGAAAAAGTGAAGCAACTGGACTGCTCTCATTCATATTCATACCAGTTTACATAATGTTAATTGCATTTGTTATTTTATTTCTTTTTCTTATAAAATATTATGGAAAACTAAAAAAAAAAAATAACAAAATTAAATTTATTGTTTAACTGAGTTGTGTTTTAAATTGTTTATCCCAGGGATCTTGTTTCTAATTAAAATTTGGATCTTAAATATTGTTACAGTTCCGTTGTGACCCCTAGCTTTAAATAATAAATGCTCCCTCAGATTTTGGGTTGTTGACTGAAGAGTAAATATGGTTAGTTGTACTATTTATGCTTGAAAATTGAGTTAAAGGAGTCCGGGTGAGGTTTTCAGTCTTTATCCTAAAGATCCAGGGTCTGATTTTGTCATGTATATGCTTGTCTCCACAAAGAAAAGGGTGCAGGTCCAAGTATTAACAATTAAGTATCCAACCTCTTTAAATTAAAGGAGCCATGGTGGCTAAGTGAGTAAGATGCTGGCTTGCTAGCCTAGAGGTTGTGGGTTTGATTCCGGTGTCTGGTCATATTGGCGTGTATGTAAAAGATCCCTTGGCAGTTGGAATTTGATATAAGAGTTGGCCGTAGTGGTGCTCAGCTGTCTGGGCAAAATTTCTCTCGTAGCACACTGGCATATGCTTGTCTTCATTATCCCAGTCGGAGCAGAACAGTAGGACGTTACTCCACATTTCATTTCTTCAAATTCAGTTCTTTAAAATTGAAAGTTTGATCTGGGAGAAGAATAATTGGAACCCTTTATTACTTTCGGAAGCACATAGTGTCCTAGTTTTGTTAGAAGCTGCTATGTTTCAGTGAGTAAAGCTATGGTAAATTGGCACTGGCTTGCCAACTAGGTCTTTGGTTCACTCATTGTCTAGGCCGAGAAATTTACTCAGGATTTTCCCCCATGTTAGTGGTGCAGGACAAAGGGCACCATAAAAGTACCATTGACAGATGGAATTCAAAATAAGAGCAGGCTGTAGCACGGCTGGCGGGGGGGGGGGTTCCCTTACAGCACACTGCATAGCGTATGCCGTCTTCATTAACCCCGTTGGTACAGGACATTCAACCCCTTTTCATTTATTTGTTTCCTTTGATATTAGAAAGATCAGTTGCCCTGCAATAAATATCACTAAAACAGTTCTCAAAGGTCCCATTGTACATTCTTTGGATAAAAATTAATAAGAAATCCTTTCTACCATGTACATGGTACTAGATAAGAATCCTAATCTCTTGAGATAAGACTAAGAGATGGTGCTATACAATTCCTTTTGGAATAATCTGATGTGAATAACCTTAGAATTAAATAAGCAAAACTATCCAATTTTTTCTTCAAAACCATGATTGATTTTTCTTATTTATTTCAATTCTGCCACATCCATAAAATCCTACCTGACCTGGGTACAAATCATCTCTTTTAAATCGAAGCGTTAAAAGCTGGCTTTGCCCGACATTTTAGAACAGAACACGCTTAACGTCACAAGGACGGGGCTAAATATATATTATGTACAACAGCCGATCAAAATATGTAATTTAAAATCGCAAGTATTATAAAAAATCAAGTTCACCAGGTGAAACTAATGGCATCCCATCATAGCTAAACACAATCAGTCTGTCTCAATGCTTTTAGCTACATACAGTACTCAAAGATAACATGGTACCATTTTTTTCTCCCATCCAAGCAACTAAATGTCATCCTGGCCAAGCTCTTTGTCCTGCACTGACAAGGGGAAACCACATTGGTAAAATCCTGAGGAAATTTCTGTCAACAAGGTAGGTGGTTATTGAACCAGCACACTGAGCCACCGAAAATTCATTTCCGGTCACATGTATACTTGATTTTGTCAGTATTCTGGCATACTCTATTCCAATTTTTTTTCTGTAATTTGAAACCCAGTTCTTAATATGAAAGTGGTATTAAAAATATCAGGTATTCTAGAAGTATACCCTGTCTTGCGCATGACAGTCGCACATAGACCTGTACTGATGAAACACTTTATGTTAATATATAAAAATTTTAGATCAATATATTGAATATACACAATACAGTATAATATACACCACCTTTTATATAGTCTCGAAAAGACATAATTTATGTCAGTGGACGTTAAAGCCCATTACTCACTCTCTAATTCACACCACCGTTTGTTTAAAAGTAATCCCAATTCGTAAATACAGATAATTAGATAATACGAAGGTATTTATTTATTTTTAAGAACTGTAATTGATGCGAAAAAGTCTAAGAGCTATATGATCTAGCCTACTGATGATAATAAGTGAATAATAATGGCCGCTTCGGTGATCATTTTTTTTAGGCCTTTTTTTTCACAAAGTCTTGATTTATTTGTCCTTCATTTTATATAGAAACAGATAGTAAAATCTGGTAGAAACTAGTTAATCAATCTCAAAAATAGCTGATGATGAGTTAGTTGTATTTTACGTCCGCTTCCACCGAGGTGATATCGCAGACAAAATAATAGCTGACAGCCAGCCGCCTTTTATTTTTATCCCCCATTTTAGGTCAATTGGACCGTTCCAATGTTGGACTAGTCCATCTGCCTTCTGTTGATTTGATATAGGAATCCCTACTAGATTCATCACTGTTCCTGAAGCGATTTATTTAGTCACAAATTCACATGCTAACAAAACTACCGTAGAATGCATAATAAGTATGTTAAAATCATTTTTGCTTGTACCGGTAGAGGCGCACAATGAGACGGTAAATCTCAACTCACGGTTACAATGAACTAGCCATCACCCCTCTTTGTAAGAATAGGACGACCTACATCTGTTACCGAGTTTGAAGGGACAATAATATAGAACATTATGATTAAAAACCTTAAAGTATACATTGTTAATCTAATTTCGTGATATATTGTGAATGGTATGAATACAAGAGCCCAGCAACACTTGTTACCTTTGCAAACTTCCCTGAAAGTTGACACATAGAAGCTGGCCCGTAGTCAGCGGGGGTGGGGGGCAAGGGGGTGGGGGTCTAGAGGGGGCACACTTTGTTGTACACCGAGCTAAGCAATGCGAAATTTGATTTGCGTTTGAATATTTCGCAAAGTTTTCGTTTAGTAACTTTTATTTAAACATATGGCACTTGATTTATTGTATAATTTCACTACCATTGCACAATAGAAACAGATACATGTACGACAAAAACAACACCTACACAACACTAAATTTATTTATATATTAGTATATATCTGTTTCAAGTAGCCTATTGGTTAATTGAAAGACAAATGATGGATAATCTCACCACAAATATAAATTCACAATCCTATAGTTTCACTAAATATCCTGAACTACATATCAATCAAATGTAATCCAGAAGTGAACCATAAACATTTTTTTTTTTTTTTTTTTGTAAAAGAGATAAAATGTTTGAATAAGTGACTCGAATTCCAAGTTAAAAAATAACCAACGAAAAGCAAAAATTGTGTATGCATTACGTTACAGAGCGGATATTATAACTGGAATAGCAGTTCGTAGAATCAGAAAGAGAGAGAGAAATTGGGATTAACGTCCACTCGACACAAACTATGTCATTTCGGGACTAACATATACTTTAATTTTATTTCAATAATTCGCTTGCGCGGAGGGGTCTTTAGCAGTGAGAGTAAACCGGAGGGCCCGGAGAAAACCCACGAGGTTGGACAGGCGACCCTACTCCTTGTCACGTACAACCGGGGAATCGAAACCCCGCCAGTTGACTCAATGACAGACCGTATAATACAGCGCGCGCGTGCTAACCATTCAGCCATCCATCCCCACTGTAGAATCATATTCTGCTACAATTATTGCGGGCCTATCTAGTTTGCTTTAGCTCTCAAAAATGACTTACTATGTAAATTTAAACAAACGACACTCGCCAGACTCCATTAGCGAGCTAAACCTTTTGATTTAGGACGAAATGGGCAACTGCAATCTTTTAATTCGATCAGCAATATTTCAATCAGATTTAGTATTCGATAATGATTAATGCGAAAGTCGATTTATTTAATAATATTAGTTTCAGTTTTGACAGTGGCGGATATTCACCAAATTGATCAGGAATTACAATAATATATATATATATATATATATATATATATATATATATATATATATATATATACTTAAACCTAATGCAAGTTAGTTTATATATGTTACACTCATGTGTGCTTTTCGATCCATTTTCGAATATTTTAAGGTTCAAATCATAGAGCTATACATGTATATATACGTCCTTTAAATCGAAAAAAAACCGGAATGCTTCTCAACACTGCCTCTAGTAATATAACTATTTATGTACCTCATATCACCTCAAAACTGTATAAGGTTACTTTAATTGTGCCCCGAGGTTTGTAGAAAATCTATAAATAGGCCGAATTTATGTGACAAATGAAAAGATATTAATTTTTTTTCGCTATAATGTTTATTAGGTATTAATTAACGAATATTGTGTGGTTAAAATCAGTGGCCGGTAAATTTGGAATACAGACACGTTATAGTACTTTACATTATTATTAATTACTTACAACCTCGATATTTTCTTTCTCGAAAAACAAAGGGGTCTATCTGGGGACCTTTTAGTTTGTGAGCCAGTACCGTAGGCCTACTAACCGAGTCATTGTGTACTCCGCCCCCACAGGCCCCACTCTCGTTCCAAACAGTCCGACATGCAGGACCCGTGAGAGGTGATGGGTGAACAGCTGGGAAACTTGTCCAGGGACCTGGACCCTAGAGGGACCCGGAGGTATACTGAGTAATATTTTAAAACTTTTCTGAATGTGGGTGCGTATGTGACGTGGGTATGCAGTTACCCCAGATCATGTACCTTTCAAAAATTTTCGAGCCCTCCCCCCATTCCCTCGCAGAGTTGCTTATCCCAGGGTTCGGAGTGCCTAATTGTCGCGGGCCTTGTCGACATGCATTAATTCTAAATGCCTCGTGGACTTTTCCAGCTGTCTACTATCGAAACTACTGCATTTTGTCAAACACATTACAATGCCACGAATAAATATTAGCATGCGAATGACTGGACTTTACAACGGATTGATATAATATAGCCTTATGGGGTGCAGCTTTTCAATAGGCCTATACTAGCTAGTCTATCCTATAGGCTAGACCCTATAGGGACCACCT